ATATATATATATATACATACACCATGATTTTTTAATCCATTCATATATTGCTGGAAATGGAGTAGTATTTTTTAAGGTTAGCAGGAGGAGCCGTATACTATATTCTCAGATCCAGTGGACATTTTATGTCAGGGATGCAAGGAGATAACGTTTGAAAAGAAAGGAGGAAATGCCGTAATAAAAAAAATACTTGCCAAAATAGTAATATTCATCTTGAAATGGATGACCAAAAGTTCTTTCTATGTACCGTACTCCAAAAGGAGTACATTGTGTTCACATATCCTTCTGGTAAGCACTGACCATTGCCAAAGTTTAGATATTCTGTACCTAAAATAGCATAATGACATTATTATCTCAGTTAAAAAAAATTCCACAGTATTTTCTCAATTAAGTTTTTCCTTTCTGTAAAGTTTTGGTGAGCTGTTACTGTTCAGTCATGTATTACCAGTGCCCAGAAGAGTATGCACTTAGGCACTTGAGAAATATTTATTGAAATGAAATTGCTGGTGTGAGGGCTAGTAGTTGACCAAATGAAGAAGTGGCAAGCAAATATTAACAGAAACAAATAAACGGCTCCCCCCATCCCTGGGCTTCTGTTCAAGAGCTTTGAAAATTTTTTTTATAGTACATGAATATAATAGTTACATTTTCTAATTGTTAAGATAGAGTTCGATAAAGAACTATTTTCTTGTGTTCCCCCAAACCCATGGAATCTCAGTATTCTGTAGCTTGAACAAATCAGTGAACTGTGCTGGGAGGAGGAATGGGATGGAAGAAGAAGGGGAGGAAGATGAATGGGTCACCGAACCAGTAGTTTGATGAGATGCTTCATGTACATCATCTCACCTACTCCCGTGCAATATTATCCCTCTTCTCTGAAGAGGGAACACTGAGGGGTTGGACAGCCTGCCCTACCATCGCACAATCCCACAAACTGGAAGTGAGGAGGTTGGTGGCACCTAACTTTATGCTGTGGCAACTATTGCTGCTGCTTCTGTGCCCACATTCTTAACTGGAAGCCTGGAGTTGCCAGTTGATCTGGTTCAAAAACTCTAACAACAATGAGGGGGGTTTAAGCTGGTTTTTGCAGGCAAACTAAATATTAGCTGAGCATGAATGAGCTCACACATTTCAAATAAACTATGTACAAATAGATATGCAAATAAACATGTATAACCCACTGAACTCAGATCAGGCTTTCTATCTACACTGCTGAACCAAATCTATCCTTGTTAAGGTTACCAAGTGACCTCCATGTTGCTAAATCCAGAGGGCAACTTTCAGCTGTTATCTTACTTTATCTATTTGTTAATCTACCTATTTATTATCACAGATCTATTGCAAGATCTATCTTACTTTATCTTACTTTTTTTTTGTTAATCTACCTATTTATTATTACAAATCTATTGCATTTGCTGCAATTTTTTCCTTTTATTTTTTGACACTTTTTTTTTACTTGTCTTCCAAGATACCACACTTTTCCTGTGTTTTTTTTTCCTCCCATTTTATTGGCTACTCCTTAGTCTCCTTTACTGATTTCTCTTCAGTCTCCTCACTTCTTGTTGGAATGTCCCAGGATTCAGGTCTTTGACCTTTTCTATCTTCTGTCTACACTTCTTCACCATCTAGTCTCCTATCTTTAGCTACATACTGTATGCTGAGCGCTCCCGGCTGTCTTTGGCCAGGAAAGACCAGTTCCCTGACTGTACTCTCATATTTCAATTGCCTACTTGACACTGCCATTTAAATGCCTAAAGGGGGTGGTGCATGGGTGGCTCAGTCAGTTTAGTGTCTGACTCCCCATCTCGGTTCAGGTCATGATCCCAGGGTCATGGGATCGAGCCCTACATCCAGCTCTATGGTAACCATGGAGTGTGCTTAAGATTCTCTCTCTCTCTGCTCCTGCCCCCACTCTAAAATTAAAAACAAATTCCTAAAGGGGATTTCATACTTGACATATTTAAAATTGAACTCCAGATCATTCTCCTCAAAACCTGCTCCTTTGTAATCTTCTATACCTCAACAAATGGCAAGTCCTTCTTTACAGCTGTTCTAGCCAAAACCCTTGGCATCATTCTTGATCCCTCTTTTTCTGTTACTCTAATTCTGTTATATCAGCAAATTCTGTCAGCTCTCCCTTCAAAATATCTTCAGAATCTGCTCACTTCTCATCATCCCTACTGCCATCACCCTAGTCCAAGCTACCAGAATCTCTAGTCTACTGTTACAGGAGACTTCTGACTGGTCCCTTTCTTTCTGCTCATGACATCTCATAGTCTGTTCATGCAGAGGCAGAGTCGTTGTTCCAAAATATGGCCTAGCATCATTTCTTTGCTTGCCCTGCATTGACTTGATTTTCATCTTAGAATAAAACCTAGTCTTTGTCATACCCTTCAAAACCCTACAGAAGTTATTCCCTAACCTCCCCATGAGTTAACTCTCTGATTTCCTTTCCCACTTCTCTGTCCCTTGCTTACTCATCTCCAGACAATGGGGTCTTTGCTCTTCCTTTTGTACTCCAGGAGGGGTACAAATAGATATGCAAATAATAATATACATATTATATATGTATATTATGTATATTATGATGGCAGAACTCAGTTTGTCTGGGGAACGATAGGACATGTAGACCTTCCTCAAGGTCTACATCAGCGGTTCCCTCCAGATATATCTGTAATGCTCACTACCTCATCTTCAGGGATTTGCTTACATGTCTCCTTGAGTTCTTCCCCAACCACCCTATTTAAATTGCAGTTCTTCAAAAGCATTTCTTGATTGTCTCATGCCAATGATTTGTTTCTCTCCACAGTCCGTGTCACCGTCTGACATACTGTTCATTTTATTCATTTGACTTCACTTATTATCTGTTTACCCTCTAGAATGTAAGCTCCATAGGAACAGAGGTTATTACTTATGTCCTGTCACCCAGAATAGTGCCTGGAACATAGTAGGTACTCAGTAAATACTTGTGGAATAAATGAATAGCTGATTTGAGCATAATTGCTTAAATCTACTCCCAACATATTATAGATCTAACCAATGTATTTCTAATGTTGACTTCAAATGCTCCTCAGGAGTGACTGAGAAAAATTGCACATATCATCCTGGAACAATCTGGAAGTGTTAGAGTTCTGGTCTTTGTCTGTCCTTCCTCTCTGTATCCTGCTCTGGGGTTCTGTGGACTGTTCTCTGTTGCAGTCATGTAGCGAGTTCTTAATTGTGTGCTGGCAAATACTTGGACTTTACAGTTTAAGTACTGTATCTTTATGAACTATATTTTCATAGCTCTGGCTGTTCCTTTTACATACTAGAAATAGAGGAAGTAAATTTTTTTCTTGTGCTGCATGAAGTGCCTACCTCAGTTTCACACAGACGCCTGGGATTTTATTTTTCTGGCTTAATTACTTTATGCCTATGTGAAGCCCTTTTATATTCATGTATTTATTCCACTTACTCTCTTGGTATAGTCCATATTATTTGCTTTGAATTCACCCAAAATGGCCTACTTAATATCAGAATAGTTATTTTATGTACCAGTTATGTAGATGTGAGGTCTTCCCCCAAAGAACTCCAACCACTAGGCATTGTTTTAGTAAGCAGGAGATCATTTTCCTGGGGCTTCTTCCTGACCCAGCTAAAAGACACTGGATGATGCATTTCACTTTCAGGGGCTATTGCTAGGTTTTGAAAGTCCCTCATACTATAAATAGCACGTCAGGGAACACTCAGGTACACTGAACATTTTCTTTACACTCCACTTCAATGTTTGCAGGAGGAAAGTCACATGCCGTCTGGTTTGCACAGTCATTTGTCCCTTAGTGCCTCCCAGGTTCTAGACAGACCCACCCAAAGTGTACATTTTCTCATAAACACAGCATGTACTTTCAGCATACTTTGTGCCTTTGTTTATACTGCTTTCTCTGCCTGGCAAAATCCTATTCATCCTGTAAGATTCATCTCAAGTGAGAAAGCCTTCCCTGAGTTGGCTTGGCAGAAATTTGCCTTTTTCCTCCTGTGTGGGATTCTCCATAGCATTTAGAGCATACTTCTTCTACAACAATTTCAGCATTACGTTAGGGTCTGTTACATAATTTTTTATGTTCACAGTCTCCCTACATCCCAGGCTGTGAGTCTGAGGCCTGTGATTTTTTGTATCTTTGTATTTACCCTGGACAGTTAGCATAAGAAGCACTGAGCAACATTTGTGGAGGGAATTAAGGATTGTAGGAATTAATGAAATTGCACTCAGATAGGGGGATAGAATTCATTTGAGTTTGTTCCCAGTTTAATGCCATTAAAAATAGACCTGGATTTTTCTATTTTCCCTAGGAGACACGATGTACATGGTCAATTTGATACAAAATATGTTATATTTAAAAACACTTCAGGGAATCAAAGTTCCTTTTTCTTCTTTCTTTCTTTCTTTCCTTTCTTTCTTTTAGTTTCAAAGGAACAGGCTAGTGGATTCTTTACAAACTTCTTGGCATCTTTCTTTCCACATGCTCTTTTGCTCTGCCCAGTCTTCAATCAAATTCCTCCAATGGATCTGCTGTAAACAATGATTTTGTGAGCAGTTGTGTGTTCTCTGCAGTGAAAACCCGCCTTGTTTTCTGTTGCTAGGCAACCCCATTCCAGCTGCCCTTGAAGAAATGCGCGGTGGTGGGAAATGGTGGGATTCTGAAGAAGAGTGGCTGTGGCCGTCAAATAGATGAAGCAAATTTTGTCATGCGGTAAGAGAGAGCACCCACAGCGCGGCCTCTGCCTTCTCCCCTTTTCCCCACACCTCCCACAAGCCCTGGGGCCTTTCAAAACTAGTCACTTGTGATTAATCAATTGTAACTGCTCTTTAGCTTCCCTTCAAGTTCATGTACAAGTGAATTTAGGAGAGGGCTGGGGAGCAGGGGAACATGCCCCAAGAAAGTACAAAGCCAAGAAGGGTTCAGAGGTCATGGGGAAACCCAAAAGTAGAAACACTGAGCTTTTGTGTTAGATTATACAGTCAGGTGACAAAAACTTTAAAAATTGATTTAAAAATTGACTGTGAATACACATTTTCATTTATTCATTACACTCTACACCCTTTTCTTCTTTGTTTTTCACAAAAAATGTTTGTAAGTAGCCAGTGGGATTTGAAGAGGGATCTGATGATGTGTGTTTGGCTAGGAACACTGGAAGGAAGGAGGGGTCATAACTTTTGTGCAGGGAGGAAGCTTGGTAAAGGGACTGAGTGTTGACATGTCACTTCGAGGGGAAAATAGGAGGCTTCTACAGGGCCACGTAAAAGAATTGCTAAGATGCAGCCAGCCAGGGCTAGAGACCATCAACCTGTAGTGGTGCCAACCTGCACTTGTGGGTGATTTTGACCAGGAGTGAAGACAGCAAGTGATTGGATCAACATGAGTTTGCGATTGTGTGGCTGAGAGGGAGGAAGAATGGGGAGTGACAACATGGAGGATCCTGGCTAGAGAAAGTGTGAGGTGACACACCTTGAAGTCTGGGCTGGTTTGCAAGTGGGCTTTGAGGAGCATGATCAAGAGACGAAGGGCACCAAACGGGGCCAAAGGACAGGGTCATTCAGAGCCCCAAGGGAGTGGGTGGTGGCAAAGATGAAGGAGAGATGGAATCATAAGAACCGATGTCAAAGAGTGGCCCACTGGAGTATATGATGGCAGAACTCGGTTTGTCTGGGGGATGATAGGACATGTGGCAGAAAAAGAAGACACATGTAACTGCAGAAGTGTAGGAACTTTGAAGCTGTATTGTGGAGATTCTTTCAGGTGGACCCCAAAGCCCAAAGTCTCCCTGAAGTAAGAATAACTATGACCCATGTGCCAGAGGGCTCCAGGGCCAGGAAGATGGAGGCCTACAGCAACACAGAGGGAAGGAAGAAGCTGAGTAAAGGAAGGGGAACAGTGGCATGGGATTTGGTTTTTGTGTTCATGTTTAAGGGTAAATAAATAATGGTCTAGAAATGGTCAAAGGTGGCTAAGAGTACACTAAACCACCTCTGAGCTCAATGGAATAGGGGAGAGTGAAAGCACTCCTTGTGAGTATTTCAGGGGAAGCCATGTACCTGGGGGAGGGCCAAGCTCCCACTCAGAGAACGAGAGTTGGGCTTCTTAGAAGAACTTTTTATCTTTGGTGAAGCCTGTAGCACAGTGGGGAGATTCTTCTATATCTGTCTTTCCTTCATGGATGTGCCCTGCCATAGTTTTTCCAGTGTAGGACTATGTTTTCCTCTCCATTGCAATTATTATTATTATTGCAATATATATAAACAATAAGAAAATGTAGAAAATAATAATGTAGTTCTCATAATTCAAGTCAATACAGCATCTATTTATTGAGCTCCTGCTTTGTTTGGGCCTTAGCTGGGTCTAGAAACAGTACGTTAAACAATTCTGCCTTGGGGGCACCGGGGTAGCTCCATTGTGTAAGTATCCAACTCTTGATTTCAGCTCAGGTCTTGATCTCATGGTTTGTGGGTTCCAGCCCCACATTGTGGAATGGAGCCTGCTTGGAATTCTCTCTCTCCCTCTCTCTCTCTGCCTCTCCCCTACTCTCTCTCTCCCTCTCTCTCAAAATAAAGAAATACTCATTAAAAACATTAAAAACAAAACCAAAACTATTCTGTCTTGTATTTAGAACCTAGAGATGTGCTAGGGCTCTGATAGGGGTAATTCAGAGACAGAGGGTGAGGGATCAGGAACCTTCTGGTAAGTGGTGTGTGGAGTGAGCCCTCTCTCCATTTCACTCTGGGGACAGGAAGAGCCTTTCTGAGGCTTTAATGTGGAAAAGATGCCAAGTGCTGCCACAGTGCAGTGAGATGAGGCTGGAGAGATATTTATGCTATGGGAGTGGCCACTGTTTAGGTTGATGGGAAGAGCAAAGGCCCTGGGGCCAAACTCAGGTACCCACTTCAATGCACTGGCATTAGGGAGAGGCTGAGGAGCCAGCAAAGAGCACAGTGGGGAAGAGGGAGGACAAGCCCTTGCCACAAACTAGCTCTGTGACCTACTGCACATCATTTTTCCTTGCTGGGGCTCAGTTTGCCAGTCTTTATGAGGGAGTTGGAGTGGACAATTCCTCAAGCCTTTCCACTGTGGAAACTGGTTCTATCTGTGATTATATGAATAGCATGTAATTGTAACAGTTTGTGTAGTCTAGTTTATATTTTCAGCTTCCTCTTGAGTATGTTTATTTGCTCTTTCCAAAAACTATGTAAGGAACAAGGAGGAGTGGTTATTATACTCACAGATTCAGGGAATTTAAGTGATTTCAAGAGGCCTTAGTATAATCTGGCAGGAGGCAGTAACATAAATGTATTTTTATATTATTCCTAAGTGTGTATATGTGTGTGTCACTACATTTAGGAAGATGCATATTTTAAACTTAACGTGTTGAAGACTAGACCTAAGCATTTTAGGAGGTTATCTATATTTATTTATTGTAAATAAACAAGACTAAGACTGCATTATAGGCCATCAACATTGCTGTATTCAAATTCAGAATTAATGAGTGTTTGTGGTTAGGGTGCATAGCCCAGCATTAAGCATAATGTTCATAGAGTAATGGGAGAGGTGAGGACTAAGAATTCAAAGAGTTAGAGTGATGTGTGCATGTGCCTTTGATTTAATTTCAAGAATAGCACCATTTTCTTTTTTTAAATTGAACTATAATTAACATTAGTTTTAGGTGTACAACATAATGATTTGTTATTTGTACGCGCTGAAACAATCACCACAATAAGTCTCATTTCCCCATTACCATATAAAATTACATAATATGCAATAGGGTAATTATTGACTATAGTCATCATGCTCTATGTTACTCCCATGACTTATTTATTTTCTGACTGGAGATTTGTATTTCCTGACCCCCTGTTCCCATTTCTCCCACTCCCATCCCTATCCCCTCTAATAACACCAATGTGTTTTCTCCATCTATGAATTTTGTTTTGTTTTGTTTGTTTTGTGTTTTTGATTCCACATATAAGTGAAATCACAAAGCATTTGTCTTTCTCTGTGACTTAGTTCACTTATGGTAATACTCTCAAGGTCTATCTGTGTTGTGACAAATGGCAAGATTTCATTCTTTTTTATAACTGAGTAGTATTCCATTGTATGTATATACCTCATCATCTTTATCCTTTCATCCATTTTTTAAAGTTTTTATGTACTTATTTTTGTGAGAGAGGGAGAGACAGAGAGTTAGAGAGAAAAGGAAGGGGCAGAGAGAGAGAGGGAGAGAGAGAATCTCAAGCAGGCTCCATGTTGTCAGCACAGATCCCACAAACTGTGAGATCATCACTTGAGCCAAGATCAAGAGTCAGATGCTTAACCAACCGAGCACCCAGGCGTCGCTATCCTTTCATCCACTGATGGACACTCTATGTCTTTTGATTGGAGAATTTAGTCCACTTATATTTAAACTAAGTATAGGTAGGTATGTACTTTTATCATTTAGTTCATTGTTTTCTGGCTTTTTCTAGTTCCTCTTTGTTTCTTCTTTTGTACTCTCCCCCATATGGTTTGATACCTTTCTTCAGTGTTATGTTCCAATTCCATTCTTATTATCTTTTGTATATCTACTGTAAGTTTTTGCTTTGTGGCTACCATGAGGCTTACATATATCAGCCTATATATTCAGACTAGTCTATTTTAAGTTGATAGTAAGTTAAGTTTGAATACATACTAAAACCATACATTTTTAGTCCTCTGTCCATGTTTTGTTTTTGATGTCATGTTTTACATCCTTTTATTTTGTGTATCCTTTAACTAATTATTGTAATTATAATTATTTTTACTCGTTTTATATTTTAACCTTCATGGTAACTTTGTAAATGATTAGTCCATTACCTTTATTATATATTTGCCTTTACCAATGAAAATTTCACTTTCATATGTTTTCTTGTTATTAATAAGTGCCCTTTCTCTTCAGTTTAAAGAAGTTCCTTAAATTTTTT